TAAGGTGGTACAGGTCTATAATCCCAGCACTTGGAAGGCTGAGGAAGGAGGATCTTGAATTCAAGGCCAGCCTGGGTTGCATCCTCAGTTTGAGGCCATCCTGGGTTACGACATGAATTCCTGTCATAAAAAGACAGGAGACAAAAGACAAAAGAAAAAAAAGAAAAAGAAAAAGGGTGTCTAGTTAAATTTTAATTTTCAGATAAATGACAACTGATGGTTTTTTAGTATAAACATGCCCCAAATATTACTTAGTGTTTAATCTGGCAACTTTTTTTCAGTGAAGCACTAATGCATAAATTACTATAAATTAACTGCCAGAAACAGGATTAAACAGAATGATAATGACAGCATGGTTCATAGTCAGTGTGATACAGTAAAAATAAAAATGACAACTGATATTTTTTTAGTATAAACATGCCCCAAATATTACTTAGTGTTTAATCTGGCAACTTTTTTTCAGTGAAGCACTAATGCATAAATTACTATAAATTAACTGCCAGAAACAGGATTAAACAGAATGATAATGACAGCATGGTTCATAGTCAGTGTGATACAGTAAAAATAAAAGGAACTTCAGAGCTGGCCGGATCTGAATTGGAACCCGCCTCTTCCCTTTTTGAAGTTATGACGTTGGGGAAGATAACTTCTGAGTCTCTGTTTCCCTTTTTCTTAAAATCAAAAAATAGTGTGGGTTGGGAATGAAAGAAAGAATTTTTACATTTTATTTATTATTTTTATTTTATGTGTATGAATTTATTGCCTGCATGTATGTAAGTGCATCGGTGTTGTACAACGCCAGTAGAGGAGAGAGGAGGGCATTGGATCCCCTGGAACTGGAGTTATAGACAGTTCTTAGCTGCCATGTGAGTGCTGGGATTCGAACTCGGGTTCTCTGTAAGAGCAACCAGTGCTTTTAACCTATGAGCCATCTCTCCAGCCCCAGAATTATACTTTATTGAGTAGTTGCTGTTATGTGAGTCATGTGTATGATCCTTTCAAGATGAAATCAGGGCTGGGCATATGTGACTGGGTTGGTAGAGTGTTGGCCTAGCATGTGCAAGACCATGGGTCTGATCCCCAGCACTGCATAAAACCAGGTGTGGCAGGAGTCCAAGGCCAGCCTGGACTACATGAAACTCTGTCTCAAAAACAAAAGGAAAAGATAAAATCTTATTCATAGATTCTAGCCCTCAGTGCTCTGCAGATATAGTATATGATACATTGTCACTCGGGAGTCTAAGACCACTACAATAGACAGTACCTCCAGTGGGCACTGTACTGCCCCAAGCATGGTACACATTAGCTCTATCCAAGGGAAGTGTGAGGATTCACCCAGCTCTGACCACTATCTGCTTCAGCCTTCGATCTGACTGCTTTGTTTCTGGACTTGCCCCAGTCCAAGGGAAGAAGAGTACACAGAATGAAATGCACAAGGCTGATAGCCATCTATTGTGATACCTGCTTCCTAAGCATTTCTTTAAATTGAAGCTGATGCCATGGGAATCTGTAACTGTAAATTCACTGTCCAAACAGAAAGAAAAGGAGGGAGGGAGAGAGGGAGAGAGAGAGAGAACTTCTAGTGAGGGGTGGTAAGGTGGTATAGGTCTATAATCCCAGCACTTGGAAGGCTGAGGCAGGAGGGTCTTGAATTCAAGGCCAGCCTGGGTTGCATACTCAGTTTGAGGCCATCCTGGGTTATGACATGAAATCCTGTCATAAAAAGACAGGAGACAAAAGACAAAAGAAAAAAAAAAGAAAAAGAAAAAGGGTGTCTAGTTAAATTTTAATTTTCAGATAAATGACAACTGATGTTTTTTTAGTATAAACATGCCCCAAATA